AAGCTATTTATTTTCCTCATACTGCCTGTGCTGCAGCACCTCTTTTCACCCTCTGTCTGAAACCAGAGCCCAGTCTGCTCAGATTGGTTAGCTGTGGTTAGAACCCTTAGCCTATCAAGTACTGTGTCGGGGCGCTAGCCAATATAAGAGTGAGTGTTACACAGTGATGTCATCAGTATTGATTACACACCTGACGTATGTTCCGAACACTCCCAGCTCACTGAGACAGGTGCTGATCTGGAGAGGAGCGTCTCGTCTCAGCAGGACGTTCTGGACGGGGGCGGGGTGAATCTTATCCATCAGGATATAAGCCGTCCTCTCGGTGCTGTCCTTCACTTCCTGCAGGACCTCGCACATCTCTGACCCATAGAAGTTGTTACCTAGAAATAAACAATATCTGAAAAGGTCCCCTATTATACTGTTTTTCATCAATATATTATAGGTCTCAGATATAGACAAACGTGTCTGAGGTGTTTGTCTGAAACACCAAACAGATCATTGCTGCATTACCCATAATCCCCTCTGTTTCAGCCCTGTTTCCAAAGTGCTGATTCTCTGTCTGTTACTTTAGATGAAAATAAGGAGCCCCTCCCCACGCCCCTCAGAGATATTTGGTTACAAAGAACACCATGGTGCTCTCGGAGGCGATTCAGGTGATAAGGTGATTGTTATGACATCATAAAGTGGCCAAAATCTGATCAGCTCATTTTCAGACAGGTTTTTATATAAATGGATCAGGACAAAAAGAGAGAGAATCTTTGTTCCAGACACTTTCAGAATCTCTTCACACAGAGGGGACACATGTTGATGTAGAAGAGACATGAAGAAGAGGGGACACATGCTGATGTAGAAGAGACATGAAGAAGAGGGGACACATGCTGATGTAGAAGAGATATGACAAAGTGGATTTTAGCCGGTATTCAGAAACGTTACTTTAAAATGTGGATCTTTCGATGCTCTCAGCAGTAGTAACTGTGGAAAGCACTAAAATGAAGATACTGACAATTCAAAGTCCTCTGGTTTCAGAAATGGTCGATGTGAATCTTACCTCCTCCCTCTCTCTGAGGCTTCAGGACAAACCGGTCTGGTGCTGCCAGCGCCATGGCAACCGTTTTGTCACCTTCGGGTCCCTAAAGACGACAAGGGCAACAAAGGAAGTTAATGACGCATCAGCAGCACACACTTCTTTTGTGACTTCATGAAAATACTTGATGTGATGTAGTGGGATGAGTAGGCCACTAGGTGTCACTGCTGCGTTGTCTATTCCGAGGAGAATTCAGCAAACTCCTGTTTGGGCTGCAATTCTTTTTTTAATTGTAGGTTACAATTTATTTTACAGTTGGAAACTGGATCACTAGATAATGTCAGTTGGTGGGTTCAAGTAATGCATAGTTGTGTTTTATAATGTTGCAAATCATTGTGCTAGCTTCTAGTAGTTCCTTTGATTATTTAGGTTTGTGTTGATCACTTGAAAGGCTATGAAGCTATCTGCAACTGTGATAAATGTCAAAAAGAATTTTTGCTGTCAGACATAAAACCTTTGACGGTCTAAACTACAATCCCCAGCCCTACGACACAGAGTTCCATGGGAGTGCAGAGAGGAAGTGAGTCTTACATAAAACTGCTCAATAACAAAGCTGAAAGGACTGAGTAGCACGTGATGTTTTCTCACCATGTCCAGAGTGTAGAGCCCAGCGAACGTGGCTCTGATCTGCTCCACTACCTGGGGCTGGTGGGGGAAGAACTTCTCCAGGACTCCAGGTGTGGCGAGCACCTGCTGGACCTTCTTGGTTCCGACCAGGTGAGTGCTGATGTCGGGACACTTAACAGCCAGAGAGCGCTCCATCATCAGACGAGCATCCCAATCCTACGATCAAAAAGATATAATTAAAGCAAAAAAAGCTGTTTTTCTTACCTTCTAGTATGAACTATGAAGCATTGAGTATATTTAACATGAATGTATTGAGACCTGGCTTATTACATAACATTGACATTTTAACCCAAACTTTTGACCAGTTCCCACATTTTAGCACTCGTTACTGCATTTGACCAGTGGTGTAAGGTAAACACGTTTATTAACCCAATTATTGTACCCGAGTGCAAATTTAAATTATTTGGACTTGATTGTTTTCTTTATTGCCACTTAATACTTCTACACCACTGCAATTCAAAGGGAAATATATACTTTTTACCTAATTGGACCTATTTGACAGCTTTATTCGCTTTACACATTTTGGTTTATGAAGTATGATGTTTTATAATGGTCATAATTCATAACTACCACAACTAGAATACAATTTAAAGTGAAGACCTTTTCAGAATTGTAGTTCTGAGGCATGTATCCATTCCTGAAGTACACCACAGCAACCTCCTGGCCATCACTGCAGAAAGACAAATATTAAAGAACCACAATTCAAGGATCATATCAGTATGTAGTGTCTCTACTGTGACATGTCTCCATGCTTTAATGTTCAAAAAGCTCTTTATTTTTCTCATACTGCCTGTGCTGCAGAAACTCCCTCTGGAGAGAAACTAGGGCTGCTCGATTATGGCAAAAATCATAATCTCGATTATTTTGGTCAATAATTGACATCACGATTATTAAAAAAACGATTATCTTTACTTTGAAAACATTAATTTATTGAAGAAAAAAGGTGTAGTATGTTTTTAACAGTTGATTACCCTGAACTTTAAGTATAATTCAATTGAAAAACCAATAAAAAAAAATATATATATTTCGATTATGTTGTTTTCATAATCGTTGCAAGCCAAAATTGTAATTGCGATTAAAATACGATTAACTGAGCAGCCCTAAGAGAAACACAGGGATGTGAGCCTTTGCAGACCATTTACATGCACGCAAACCTATAGAACACACTACAGGAAAGGGAAAACCCCAAAAAGGAAAAATAGGGTCCCTTTAAGTAAACGTGATCATAGTTATATAATTATTACCTATGTAGCCATATCGTTGTTATAACATTTATTTATTGACATTTAACTTACACAAATAGCCTCTTGTCCTGATCCATGGATCCTGTTTTAGAAACATCATCGAACCGCCTTCTCATTGTGGGAATGTTTCTGAAACACAGGGACAATAGTGGGCTGGTTACAACAAAACAAACCCCTTCCTCCCACACCATTCAAATGCAATTGGGGCGGGAAAAGACCATTGAAACTAAATGTGACACAACATGTTCCAGCTATTCATGCTTGTTCCATTGAAACAACATTGCTTCATAAAAGCAGCTCCTCTCAACTCACCTGTTCCACAGCTCTTTCTCAACATATCGGTGATCCAAGATGTTCCTCTGGACCTCTTCCACCAAGAACATGACGACGGCTCTGTAATGACAGTCATTGCTCCTGTCAATCACTCCTACTGCAATTCTGTATTCTGAATGAATTCACTCATCACATCTTAAGTTAGTATGAAGGAAATACATTCAGGATGTACTGTTATGGAGGTATTAGTATTAGTTGTGTGAATAGATCGATAATCCGTTGGTAAATGTGTAATCAGTCAATGTAACACACTTTCCACAAATGCAAAGAAAAAGGTTGAAGACAAAAAAAAAATTGTTGGAAATATAAAAAAAGATCTGCTTACAAACAAATTCCCGAAAAATGATTTTGTATTGATTTACAAGTCAATTAAAAGTGTTTGTGAATATCTTTCCAACATCTGCAATCATCATTTTTGGAGCGTGTAATTCCCTGCTCATGTCCTGGTGTCCACGTTTCAAAGTAAGAGCATACTGTGGCTAGTAACATGCATTCTTTATTTTATTATATAAATGGGACAATATCAGTGTGTGTTAATGGTTGCATTTTTTGTATCTACTGTAGCACACACACTTGTGTATACATTGTGTGCTGTACCTAGCCTGGTACAGCAAAGTCAATCTTTAGGCTTCTTTTAATGTATTCTTTCAGGTGAGTCAAAATTCCAATGCACAAATAAACTTGAGACAAATCTACCTATTTACTCAAATTCCTACTTCTCTGATCCATAGAGCTCCCAGGCTTTAGCCACGGCCCGGGCCAGGCCTGCTGCAGGGTTGTTGTCCGGGATCCGCTCACTCTGCTCCAGCTGCCCGGCCACCTGAAGGATGTGTCTGGGAAAAAAGGGGAACAATACTTACAATAAGTGCATTCGACCAACAAAATACAAACTTGAAGAAAACAGAATACACTTACAGCAATTTGAACAAATATTAAATAAAGAAAAACAGTAAAAGTTGTTGCCTTAATATGGAAAGTCAGCCACCAATTGTGCAAGTTCTCCGACTTAAAAAGATGAGGCCTGTAATTTTCATCCTAGGTATACCTCAACTATGAGAGACAAAATGAGAAAAAAAAAATTACATTTTACATCACATTTTCTGACTTTTAAAAGAATTTATTTGCAGATTATGGTGGAAAATAAGTATTTGGTCAATAACAAAAGTTCATCTCAATACTTTGTTATACAGGACTGTCTCAGAAAATTAGAATATTGTGATAAAGTTCTTTATTTTCTGTAATGCAATTAAAAAAACAAAAATGTCATACATTCTGGATTCATTACAAATCAACTGAAATATTGCAAGCCTTTTATTATTTTAATATTGCTGATTATGGCATACAGCTTAAGAAAACTCAAAAATCCTATCTCAAAAAATTAGAATAGTTCCTCAGACCAAGTAAAAAAAAAAGATTTATAACAGCAAAACACAATCAAACATTTGAAAATGTCCATTAATGCACTCAGTACTTGGTTGGGAATCCTTTTGCACGGATTACTGCATCAATGCGGCGTGGCATGGAGGCAATCAGC